ACCATATATGTGAATTTTTTTTTCCTCTTATTTTTGGTTTTAAAATTAAATTTGAGTCCATTAGGGAACACACAAATGGGAGGCAAACTTTTCTATCCGTTTTACCGGAAACAAATATGTTATGTTCTCTTTTGTCTTTTACCAATCAAAAGCAAGAAACAATGCCTAAAACTAAAAACAGGGCTAAGACATAAACACAAGGGAACAAAATAGCATAGAAACACGAGATAAACTTGTTTGTTTTTACACGTCTCTTAGATGTAATTTCAAATATCCTAAATTAACTTTCATAGTGATGGCACGAGTCATGTGTTCTGTCAAATAATTCACTTCAAATTATAATATTTCAATAAAAAAAAAGTGTACATGAATCATTTTACAACTACTAATCAACTAGTGGAATCATATATTTGGGGTTCCTCTCCTTTCTTTCCTTCTTTTGCAATTTTAGTCATCTTGGCCTTATTACAAATAGGAAATGATTCATATGCAACTTTTTTTTATATAATTTTTTTATACAATCTTATATATCATTAATAATTAGTTCTTTTCACTCAGCTAAAACAAATAATATTATTCATAATTATTCATTTAATAACACGTGAAAGTTATATAAAAAATTATCTCCATATCATTATCCTTCAATTAACTGTTAAAATATTTATCACTGACTTGAGATTTGATAGGTGATGAAGTAAAAGTGCTCTAGAAGCAAAATTTTTACTGTAAAGTAAATTGAAACCACACAAGAATATATGATGGAGAGAAAGCCACGTTAGGTGTGTCTAGATTTTGCATGTATGGTAAATTAAAATATTGTAAACAAAAAGAATACTCTAGAATATGCACAATTAGTGTACATCACTGACTTTTGTAAGTATGAAAAGTAGAATTGAAGAAATAGACTGTGTGTGCATGAGTTCAATAGAAAAAGTGTTCTGCTATTTCCTCTCTTGGTCAACATTAACCATCCATTTAGATTTTCCCTATTGATTACATTTTCTTGCATAAATAGTGTGTTATATACTCTTGTCCGTTGTTCCTCTCAAAATATAATAAGCATTGCCTTTAGTTGAGTCTAGATGAACAAGGCTATTATGGGAGGAGGCTATGAAGAAGATGACAATGAAGAAGAAGAGAAGAAGGTTGTCAAGGTGGCAACACTTCTTTTTGTCATCGAATTAGTGGTTTACCAGATCAACAAGCTGTTACTACCTATGGTATACTTTGAATTTCTACAAAGACTCTCTTAATATATTTTGATATTCAATTGTGCTCTATAGAAATCTAGTTTTACTAAACATATCTAGAATTAACAATTTTTTCTAGGTGTCCAATCATATAGATATTTACCAACTTCATTGCTTACCTTACTTCCTTTATTTAGAACCACATTCCAGATTCATAGCATGTGATGTGGCATGGATCCTCTTGAATAAGCCCATGGCACTAATATATGTTTTTTGTCTTGATAAAGAAACAAGAAGGGTTAGATCTATCTTTATATTATTTTTCTTTTATTTGTTTCCAGAACACTATCCATTAGATTGATAATCTAGTGGAGGAAAGGAGCTCGAGGTTTAAATGAAATTGAGGCAAAAGGCCACTGTGAAAATGAGGAAGGTGAATCATGGTCCTGAAAGAAATTAACAAACTTCTCATACTGAGGTAATTATTTCCTTAAATTAGTATTGTTATTTGTTCTAAATAAATTTTGGACTTCTACACTTGTTTGAAATATGAATCCATAAAATAATTTCTCTAAAAAATTGGCTGAAAACTATCATTGGATGTGTTTTCTTATACTAGTGGTAAATGAAATTGGCTTTCTATTTCACATGAATAACAGTGCCTGAATTTAATGCCGCACAAAGCAGACTGGGTCGTAGATGTCTTCTACAGGGACCGAAGGAGATAGGAAGTTCGAATCCAAATCCAGATGAACAACAATCAGATTCCATGTTTCTTGTTGTCTATGTATCAGCAATATGGAACTTTGAAGTATAGATAGGAATAATTGCAGGCACTAGCTATTGCAAGTCTTTTACAAGTTACAACCTAGTGACTATAATCCTGGTTGTTTCAAGAACTTGATGTTTTCTGTCTAGATTTGAATTTTTCATCAAGCTTAGTATTGTAAAATAAAATTGTATATATTTCCTGGACAACATAACATGAGTACTTCTCTGTCAAAAGAAAAATGTGCGTAGTTATAAAGAAGAAACAAAGTGCACATTGATTTATTTAGATTTAAGAATCAACCTAAGCAATTGTATTTATTTATTTATTTTCTTGAACCAAGAGCTAGAAAAGGTTTAAGAAGCAAGGGGTACTTTGCTAGGGCTTGCCTTTGTAGGCAACAAGGAAAGTTGGAATTATCAAAGTTTTTTTCTTTTTCAAAGAAATGCTGGATTTCTTCATAAATAGTCTCCTTTTTCAAGGATGAAAGTAAAAAGGGAGTGGTTATTTTTCATTTTTCTTAACGGAAATTGTGGAGAAAAATTTTAATAAAATGAACTGGAAACAAAGGCATAGTAAGAATACTTGAGAAGAAATCCATCAATTGTGGCACATGAAGAGGGGCATTTAATCCACAAAATGAACAATGGTTAACAAAGCAAAAATGAAATAACGATTAAGAAAATAAAGGACAAAGTGAGAATTTTATCATTTCCTTTTAGTTTGACTACTACTATTATCTTTTTTTCTTTCTTTTTTTATAAAAATAATGGTTAGGAAGTTAGTGAGTTAATTGTTAGCAGTTGGTCCTTAAATCGGGTGAACATTTCATCCCCTCAAATGAGGCGCACGGCTATCAGACCGCAGTTTGGTGAAGTTCACGACGGTGATGGAACTCGAAACTTCGATCACCATCTCACCCAAACACTAAGGCTTGGGGCGAACCATTGGGCCACAAGGCCTGGTTCGCCAACTACTACTATTATCTTATCAGAAGAATATATGTATCCAGAGGATTATGTCAGAGATTAGAGAGAGGGGACAAAAGGTTGTGATTTGTTTAGTCATTTTGTTGTCCCAAAAAGAATTGGAAATTTGTTTTGTCTGAAACCCAAACAAGAGAGGCTTTTTTTGCTTAATTGTACGTGTCTCATAGTTTTAGGTTCTGTTCTGTACAGCATACACCAATTTAAAGTTTTGCAGCCTGACAACCTATTGGAGAGATCTATTAGTAGCTACCTCTGCCACGGCTATCCCATCATGGACACTAAAATTGGCAACTGAATTGAACTGTTTTCTTGTCTGGCTGTCTGCTACATCTGGCAAGATTAGCTTTCCTTTGTTGCCTGGTTCTTGCCTGTTTATTTTCTAAGTTTATGATTCTAAGATTCATTTGATGATGTATTTGCATATCTGATGTGAAATTCATGGCATTGGAGCATCTTTTTCTCTATCACAATATTGAGATGGAAGAGTCAAGAATATATACACAACAACAATATAGAACAAATGTGAGGATGCACATGGCTTTGTTTCTTACTGGCTAATTTTTGTTTCTTTGTCTTTTTTTTTTTTTTCTTATTAGAGAGAAGTAGGAGAGAAAAGTGATGCTTCGCGTTTCATTTGAATTTGGTTAAATTTGCGAAGTTCGAATTTGATTTAAGGAGTATTGTGTTTTTAGTAGAAATCATAAGGTTTATTTCCAAGAAAAATGGTTAAAATGTGAGGAAAATAAGTGAGAGATTAGAGAGGGATAGGGAAAGGTTGTGATTTGTTTAGTCTTTTGTTGCTTAAAAGAGAATTGGAAATTTGTTTTGTCTGAAACTAAAAACAGAAAGGCTTTAAAAAAAAAAAAAAAAAAAGAAATGGCTGCTTCAGTGAAAGTTGAAACCCTATTGAGCAAACGAACCCAGAGTTTTCATCATAAAACATTTGTCTTTAAACTTTTAGATGCAGTTTAAGCTTACAAGTTCTAATTATTTCCATTTTCCTTGGTTCTTTTCAAGCTTGAAGTGGCTACGAATATGAGTGCTCATTTTGTTCTAATCTGTGGTAAATTTCATGTCTATAAAGACACATTTTTATGGAAAGAATGCAATTTTCTAACCCCCTTTTTTTTTTTAATGTTTTGGTATTGAAGCTAACTCTTATCCCAAAAGTAGCAACAAGGGTAGGGTTTGGGATGAGGGTTTTCGTATTTTCCCCCTTTGAGAATCTATGGAGCTAATTTGTGATGGGTCTATGCATATTCTGTTGATTTCTTTCTTTAATTAATCATAACTTTACATTTAATTAATATTAGTTTCTTTTCTTTTAATGAAGGGATAATTGAATTTTGCAATTTACGTCAATGATTATTGATACTTCACTGTATAAGTTAATTGTGTCTTATAATTTTAAGTCCCATAGCAACTGATATGATACCCAAACCAATCAAATGACAACAACTCATTAAATTTGCCGACCTTATCATTTCATTAAATTCATTAAAAACACCTAAGCACACATTAATGGATGTCTAATGGAGTCTCTCCCCTCTCCCTTTCTCCCAAATTAGTTCACCTCCCCTCAATGTATTCCCTTCTCTAATCCTCCCCAAAATCTTCCCTTTCTTCCTTACTTGAGAAAGTCAATTATATCTCGAGGATACCACATCAGTGGTATTTCTAGTCAACGTGCCATCTCAACACTTTTTTTCCACCTCATTAAGCACATTAGCACTTTTTTTCCACCTCAATAGTATCTATTAATGAGATAAAAAACAAGTGTTGATATGTCATGTTGTAATTGTCCGAGGACATCACGACGTGGTATCCAGTAATATCCCTAGGATATAGCAGATTTTCTCTCTCCTCCCACTACTTTGTCTCTGACAATAATGATGGCAATCATAACCTACCTCCAAGAAGCTTGCCTCCACTAGATCCCATGTTCCTTTTCAATCCTCAATTTCTAGAAATTGTTTCGCATTGATGGGTTTTGCAATTTGGGAACACCAGATGCGAAGGGATTTTATATTTTACTGATAAACTAATAGATGATAAAAGCAACAAACAGAATATGTAATTCCTTACAAGGTTATGGAAATTTGGAATGGAGAAAGAAACCTGCAAATTATTATATAAGGGAATTATAAGAGAACTAAAAACGCTACATTTCCCAAAAAAATTTCCTTGTTCAAAGGGCAAAACAAGAAAAAATTATCCAAGAAATGAAAATTGGGTCGTCATCGACATCCCTCTCCTTGCATTTCAACATTGATGTCACATCTTAAAAAAAAAAAAAGAAGGAAAATCCAACATGTTTAGGCTTATATTACATTACCAAAAGCCAAAAACTTTCAACTCAAGGTCAAATGAAGGAAAAAATTTTGGATATGAGTTTCCGGGAAAAAGCAACTTTTAGGAATCATAATGAATCATTCTATAGAAATTATGAGAGGAAGATTTGAGAAGGATTAGAGAAGTAGCTGAAAGGGAAGACGAGAGAAAAGCCATAGAAATTCTCCGTTGAACTGTGCTGAGATGATTTTATGGAAACGATGAGTTGGCCTACTTTAATGAGCTAGGTGTCAACATTTGATTGGATTGGGATACCATGTTAGCTGGTATACCCAGGATACACTAGAACTTCTCCTGTTGGAGAGATCTGTTAACAGCAATCTTTGCCACGACAATCCCATCATGGACACTGAAACTGGTAACTGAATAGAATTCTTTTATTGTTTGGCTATCTCCTACATTTGGCAAGATCAATTTTCCTTATTACGATTACAATGAGAAGAATGGTTAAAATGTGAGAAGAATAATAGAAGTAGAAAATTTACTACTCCGTAGTGTAGGATAATGCAACGAAAAGATAGTTTTTCATTATATGAATACAGTAAGTGGTTCAAGAAATGTTCAATAAGTAGTTAATTAGTATATAGTTCTATGTATAGAGGAATTCATTAAGTAATTTTCTGTTAACAATTTGGTAAGTAATTAGTATATGGTTCTTTGTTTAGTGGAATTCGTTTCGTAGTTTTTCATTATAAAATGTTTCGATAAGTAGTTAATTAATCTATGGTTCTATGTTTAACAGAATTTGTTAAATAATATTCTGTTATGAAAAATTTAAAGGAATTTGTTGTTATGTTTAATCGTTTACCGTTATGATATGTTCGCTAAGTTGTTTACTTTATTAAACAATTCATTGTAGATGGCCAAAAAGAAAAAAAAAAGAATAATACATCAAGGAATTTTTTAAATGCATGGTACTATAGTTATACAAAATATGTATTTATAGAAGAAATATCTCTATCAGTATTGATCAACTATGAAATTACTAATACTAATGACCTGTTGGTTCGACTAATTAAAAGGAACTCGGTTTCCTCCTTAAATAAGATCTTAAATTCAAGTCTTGTGAATAGAGAAACATGTGAATAGAGAAACAGACACTAGGAGAGCTTCCCCTTATATAGGGTCTACCATGGCTCGATTCCGGATTAATCAGGACTCAATGTGATTACTGGATACTGGGAGGTTAATATAAAAAAACGAAATGAAATTATTGAAAATGTGACTTTGATTATTTTTGTTCTAAAATTAACATAAATTGATAGGCAACCTCAAATATATTTTAAAAAATTACATAAATTTCTAATTTTCAAGAAAAGTTTTAGATAGCTATGTCCGTTTTATGGCAAGAAATAAAATATAAAAAAGAAAACTATTTACTAGCAATTGTTTAATATTTACTAAGAATTTTCATTTTCATATAAGATAGTGTTGAGTAGGTCATCCTCTCAAAAATTTTTTTGGAGGATTTGTCTAAAAACCCACCTTGTAAAACCCACTTTCTAATTAATATTTTTAAAAACAAATTGTTAGATTAACAGTTCTATTTATATAAACCATATTTGTTAATTTTCATAGATATAAGATTTATAACCCTTTGACAAAAACTCTATTTACTGATATTTATTTAACAATGTTAAATTTCTTTAATCAACAAAATGGTTAGCCCTACTAAAACAACTTAAAAATTTACATGTATGATATATATGAATAGAGCTTTTAACCTAACCATTGATTTTTAAAAATATTAATTAAAAAAATGAGTTTTTAAATAGATCCTTCAAAAAAGAAATTAGGAAGATGGCGTGTAAAACACTTTGTCCATTTCATATACCATAATGTCTATGTATACATTGTATGTATCCATTATGTTCAAGCAAGAGCTTAATAGGTTGCCTTTTAAGCAAAGTTCTCAAAAATGATTATTTTCTATTAAGGTGACACTTTTTTGGCAAAAAATCCAAGCAATGGATTTGTGGTCAACTCATTACCAAAATTGGGTAATTTGAGAGATATACATTCCCAATCCAGCATTACATTGCTAAATAAAGTTTTCCTTTTATGATAGAGGAAAAACTTACCATATTTTACTTACCATTTATGACATTAGGATTTGTTTTCCACATAGATTTTTCATCACCATCCTTATCTCCATATTTTACTTACCATTTATGAAATTAGGATTTGTTTTCCACATATTTTTCATCATCATCCTTATCTCCTTCATTCTAGAATGTTTAAGCTGTCTGGTGCAATACATGTGAAATTTATACTTTTTTTACTTTTTACTTTTTGGTTTTCGAATTAAATTTGAGTCCAATAGGGTACATACAAATGGAAGGCAAACTTTTCTGTCTGTTTTACTTAAACCAATACGTTATGTTCTCTTATATTTGCCAGTCAAAGCATGAAAAATGCCCAAAACTAAAAAACGGCTAAGACATAAACACAAGGGAACAAATTAGCATAGAAACATGATATGAGCTTGTCTGTTTTTTCTTCTCTCTTAGATGCAGTTTCAAATATCCTAAGGTAACCTTCATGGTGA